AGCTTTGTGAAAGAAATACAGGCGGTAAAGAGCAGGTCTGATTACTTTTGGTTAGAAAAACTGTGGTTACTTTCAGGGTAACACTTTTTTTTTTTGGTCTTTTGGACCTTGACAACTATGAACAGTCATTGTTTGACAAGAGCTAAGTAAGAATTCTTCCAAATATTTTACTTTTGTGTTTGACCAAAAATAACAGAATAACGGAATTTACATTTTCTGTCAGAATTAACTTTTTTTTTTTAACATCCTCTGCGTTTTTCTGGACCTTGAACTCAAACCGCTGAAGCTTATAATGTCAAAAACAATAAAACAAAATAGAAGTCTTTGTGTATCAGGAGAAGATGAAGCATCTCAGTGGGTTTACATTTTATATTTATGCATTTAGCAGATGCTTTTAGTGAAAATGTGTAACAATGTTGTGTAACATGAGCAACAAGTTTTGTTATTGGCAGACTCAAATAAAGTCTGTCTAACATGATAAATAATGCATTTGTGAAACAGAATGCAGTGTTGTTCTGTGCTTCACTTGAAAATAAACCATAGCACACAACTCTCTTCCACATTTCGACTTGAGAAATGAACACTGTATTTTACAGTGAGTTTTTGATGAGGTGTTTGCGTTTATTAGCAGCGCTATCAATAGCCAGATCCACTAGATGGCACACGTTCAGCTTAAACTCAAACAAAGTTTGGCTTGAATTCATAGCATGGGCAAAGACAAAGAAAAGGAAGCAAAAACGTGGTAAGTGAGGACAAGAAGAAAGAATTCAAAACTTGCAAGGACAGAAGGAGCAACAGAATAACAGAGCGGCTGAATGTGAGCTAAAATTAGCCGCTAACAGACAAACCCCAAGATAGCAGCAGCTATTCTGGCAGTGAATTTATTAGATCCGGAAACTGTTGATGCATAGCAATTCCCGGAGTTAGGTCAGAAGTAATCTAAATGTAATCAAAAAGTAGTCTGATTTTATTCTATAAAATGTGTAATGTAATGGTTTATGCAACTAATTGCAATTGTTGTCATGTAATTTGGAATCAGTAATGGACTACAATGTGTAAGTAATCTACCCAGCTCTGTCTAAGAAAGTATTCCTGTAGAGAGCTGCATTAGCATTCACATTCATCTCAATAGGTGCACTAATCATTGTCCGCTGACTAACTGTTGACGTCACAAGAAACGCATCGTCTCAAACCGTATCTATGAGGTCAAAGACAGAAGAGAGGACACATATAAGTCAATTTTAAACTTTGAACAACCTCCAAAATGAATCTGCCACTGGTAAAACATTGACTGTAATTAAAGACAGTACTGAAGATTTGCAAAAAATCATCAGAACCCTTGTGAAAAAGAAGTCAACGTTAGCATGTGCTCTAAAGAGACTACTTGTTATAGTGAACTGAATGTGATGTTTTCAGACACTTAATTTAATGTTAATTGTTATTAAATGTATAATCATTGTCCGCTGACTAACTGTTGACGTCACAAGAAACGCACCGTCTCAAACCGTATCCATGAGGTCAAAGACAGAAGAGAGGACACATATAAGTCAATTTTAAACTTCGAACAACCTCCAAAATGAATCTGCCACTGGTAAAACATTGACTGTAATTAAAGACAGTACTGAAGATTTGCAAAAAATCATCAGAACCCTTGTGAAAAAGAAGTCAACGTTAGCATGTGCTCTAAAGAGACTACTTGTTATAGTGAACTGAATGTGATGTTTTCAGACACTTAATTTAATGTTAATTGTTATTAAATGTATTATATTTTATTAAATGTGTTGTATTATAGTTAAAATTTATATTAAATTATATTATGATTGGCACGTATGTGATGCACATGATATGAAGTTCTAAACGTAGGTTTGGGAGGAGTCTAATCATTCAGTCCTGTCAATCATCATTAAAAACCTTTATAAGCAGCAGTCATTGCGCAATTCTTCCGGCATCCCTCCACCTCCCCAGCTCCTCCTATATTTCTGTTATTCTCCCTCTATGTAGTACTGCAATGAGGGGGTTGAACTCAGAGCTCAAGCCAAGCCTCGGGTTCGAGCCTCTGTTGAGGACAGCAAGCCATGTTTGTTTATCATTAACCATCAGGAGTGGAGGGGCAGGCGAAGTCGTGCAACCTCGTGTGGCGCGCTATCAGCACATTTGCCGCTGACGAGGTCAGGTGTGTTCTCTCTCGCTCTGTTCATTGCATTATTTCATGAGATAAAGAATGCCTAAATGTAATGCAAGGCTGTAATGTCATGCAAATTAATGTGAATGATCGCATTTTGAATGCTTTACCGTGACTGATTTAGCTTACTATTTTTCTCCGTTCTGTCTGGGCAGAGTGAAGTGCGTGTGTCCAAACATTCATTGTGCTCTGTGTATTTCTGCAGGTGTGCTGGATGTTTACTGTGTTATAGCTTGAGAAATGTTTGAAATGTGTTTAAAATCAACTTTATAAACAGTGAGGTCGGTCTGCAAAAGTGATGTCATATTGAATGTTTTTATTTATTTATTTGTTAATTTCTAACGTTTTGCCATTTTTTCCCATCTAATTGCTCACTGATATGAGTAAATGGTGAAGAAATAATATTTTTCCTATAATATATATATATATATAATATCTCATATGTCGTGTAACAATGATATGTATTTTGTTGGATTTCTATATTCTGTGGTTTATTTAATTTATTTTAATGTTGTCTTAAGTTTTGTAACTATTACTTTGACAAAACATAACCAGAGTAAACCTGCTACACATACAGAACATACTTTTAAGATTTGAAGTACACTGCGAGTGCATTTTCAGTACATTTAAGGGCACTTCTTTTCACAAGGGAAAACATGGTGAAAGATCAGCATATTTGCATTTAGCTCAAAGCAGCAGCTTGGACTCAGTTCATAGGTTCCTGGAGCCACAACACTGTGAGGTAGGCATTTTAAAGTTGCATAACCACTTGACAGTTACTCAGGGTCAAAATGCACCAAGAATCACTTAGAGACTCCCTAGAAACCTTTGCATAGCTTGATTTAAAACAGGACAGAAAATATACCCACTTTCCCCCTCAAAACCCTCGTCTGAGTCATTTAAGTGTATATCTGCACAGTCAGATGGGGAAAGCACTCGCCCTCACTTCTACTGGCGTCTCCTAATGTGGCAGCTCATGAGAAACATCCAGAAATCACAACACTAATGCCTCTTCAGTGATGGGGCATTAGCAGGGAGTTTCTGTGGGGACTCGGATTGACAGAGCTGCGATAGTTTAAGAGATTAAACACACAGCGTTTTCAGACATCACATTCTGATGAAGAGGCAAATCAGGAATAACACACAATGAAGCTGTCTAACTACTGTAAGCTACAAGAGACACATTTAAGCGGCTGAGGGGGAATAAGAGGCTGTGAAATGAGTGCTGTCAGGCAGTAACTGTATCTATTTCAGGCACAACAGTTTAAGGGAAGAACCAAGGCCAAAAATTGGAGTTAAATTCTCAAATAAAGTTCTAAATGTATATTTAGTGTCTCAAAGGTGAGTCCATGACTAATTCTTCGGATTATACTGTAGACCTTAGTCAGACACCGTATCTGATTTGTTGCAAACTGAAATGACGCTGTGATTGATGGAAGTACTGTCCATTAAAAAAAATATTGTAGCATTATGATTTAAATAAAAGCCAATGAAGCATTTAAACATTTTCAAGTATCAAAAACTGGGTTGTGAAGATTTAGATTTGTGACCTAGGATCATAGATTTTCATACACATTACATTAATTGTCATCATGAAATATGGTATCTACTTGAACTAAAGTCTGTAACTGATGATTATTCGGAGTAAGCAGCATATTCAGGTCCATGTTGTTACGTTATATGATTTAGTATGCATTCATCACATCTTCATGTACGTTTCATCCAGAAAAATCATTAAATAACTTAAGTTCAGCTTGATATTATCACTGTGGAAAACTAGCACAACTATTGCTAGCATTTGGGATTGCTGCCAAGAACGTCTGTAACAAAGTAGCAAATGCTGCATATTGGTTTGACCTTCTGCGGTCTTTAGCTTTTGTAACTTTAACTATTGTAAGTTTGTAAGTTAACTTTTGTAAATCGCTTTGGATAGAAACATCTGCTAAATACATACATTTTATGTAAATGCAAACCTATGGGTATTCTTTACTTTCTTGAGATATATTAGAGAGTTAATCTAGATATAGCAACATATTTTATTGCATTAACAGCCCTAGTTTCTGGTAATTTAATGTTTGACCTCAATCATAATTTTAAAAGGAAATGTCGAAGCCAGTATGAGAGAGCTTCGGATATTGCCAGTGCAAGTGGGATGGGAGACCTTGGAGTTACAAAGACTGAAAACTGCTGATGCAAATGAAATAAATGACAGAAAGAGTCAGAAAACCACTCAAGCCTTAATAGATTTTTCTTTTTGCTGTGTGCACTAGAGTTCCTGGTAACTCGCAGAGGGACTAACAGCAGCTCAGCTGAACTGTAAGAGGACACCTCAGCGCGCTAAAAACATCAACACATACACGATTACAAATAAAGGTTCTTTACTGGACTCTATGGTTCCACGAAGAACCTTCAACATCCATGGACCCTTTTTATTGCACAAAAGGTTCTTTATAGTGGAAAAAGGATCTTTAGATTATTAAAATGTTCTTCACACTAAAAAATGGTTCACTGAAAAGTTATTTGGGGAACCAAAAATGGTTCTTCTATGGAATCACAATAACCTTTATTTTATTTATTGCACAACACCTGGGAAGAAACTAACCCATAAGACAACTAACATGTTTTATTAGTATAATAATACTTCACAGACCACATTAGAGAGATATCAGCTAAACGGCAGAGCTTTGATCATTCCAAGTCTGCTCCAAAACCCTACCTCAACCCCATTTCCGCAGACACCCAATGGTCCACTAAAGGTCAGTTCATACATTAATTTGGATCTTTCCCAATTGTTCTATTCTCATCGTTTCCCACGCACCTCCAAAGCAAGTTCCTCCACTTCAAACTGCTTTCTGGACACGCCGTCCTCGCCAACAGGCTTGTGGTAGTAGATGACCATTACATCATATCTCTTCATCACAGACTTGTAGTTCTTGATGGTCAGCTGTTGGACGCGGTCCTTCCCGTCATATTCGGGGAACTCCAGGCCCTTTTCGCTCCAGCACAGATACGCAAAAGTTAGCAGAACCCCCAAAAGCACCCAACCCCACTTCATGTCACTGTTATGCTTCACTTGAAAAGGTTTAAAATTTCTTTGATTTTTACCTTGTTCCTAACTAAAGCCAAAATATTAGGAACAAGGTCCAATTCGTGCGCGCACCACCCAGAGAAGAGCAGGACTCGCTCTCTACACTCCCTTTTAATAAGACACATGCACAAGTTGATGCCTCGTGGGGGTTGGAGGGTTGGAATGACGCTCCGGACACGGGTATGTTATGACACTTGGACTGAGTCCAGAGCAGTCAAGCACTAGAAATGACCGTTTTTACCTGATGGAAGCAACAGAACCTAAGCGATCGACGTGCATTGAGTACTTTCATTTAAACACAGGTATTACGGTGGGCGACAGGATTCCATTGCCATATTAAGTTTTGCAGGGCTTTGACCTTTGCTAAAAATAAATGCTTGTTTGATGGCGTCCATGCCGTACTGTGTGTTGTGCCGCTGCGTGGTCACAGCTGAAGTGAAGTGTCCAGTTTCACACTGATTCTGTTGGCCAAAGCAAACACTCCCAAAGTCTTGCACTCTACATGGTGACAGGATTTTATAGAGGGAGGAATGGCCTAACAATGCCAGTCAATGCTAATTATTCGAGGTCATAGGTTGGATTCCCAGGGAACTCACATACTTATGAGAATGTACATGAATGCACTGTAAGTGTCTGACAGTTGCGTAAATATAAAAGTAGTGATAAATCCATAAGCGTAAATCATACATGAGTATGCATGGTTGTGAATGCATATTTTATGCACAGAATGAGATTCAGAATATGATGACATATGATGCCCCATACATCTAAACTTTATGACAACTGTGCTCTCACAAGGACACACATCGCCCCCCCACCACATGAGCCAGTGTGTATCACATGCAAACACAACATTTGCCCAAGACTACACTATTGGCACAGCGTCAGGAAAATCTGTGCACAGAGCAACAGAGGAAGAGATTACTGAACTTGTAAACATGTAAACATCAGAAAAACGTAGTAAAATATGGACTTAGTAGACACTTTATTCAAATCTGACTTACAAGACACAGATTTCCATCTTCTGCATCAGCCCATGTTTATTATGTAAGTCACAAATGTTCATAAAGATACAAAAGGCCAGCAATGCCTCTATTCATACTCTGTCAAAAATCTTTTTGTGGTGAATCTTGTTGCTTGGCAACTACAAACGTGACAGACTGTTAGCTGAAGTTGGTGTTTGGTTGCTACTGCTGACACACACACACACACACAACCAGTTCCTTTCAGTGATATCGCAGAATGAATCCAGCGGAACGGAGCTTTCCAGAAGCATCAGATGACACACAAGCATGTGCTCTCTGTCTGTGAATGGCACTTTCCACAAATAGGGCACAAAATAACGTCTGAAACACTTAAACAAATGGAAGATGTTTTTATACATTGTTACTGTATTACAGATTTAGTTTAGCTGTAACTCTGTGTTATTGTAGATACAACCTAGATACATTAATTTATCACAACAAAACAATTTGTTTATCACAAAAAAAAAAAAAATTATGGGTTCAGGAAAAAAAAAAGCTCTTTAAAGTAATTTGAGCTTATACAGTCAACACTACATTTTGTTTAACACATAAGAAATGTAATCACACAATAGTCTAATTACATGAAAGTACAAAATTCCAAATATTAATGGATATCAATATGTTATGACATTTTAATTGTTCAGAAAGTCAAAAGCTCTGAAAAGTAACAGCCTGAAATCCTCATTATTAAGGTGAAATACAGATTTGAGCTACTTTTCATTCAAAGGTTAATTTATGTTGCATACAGTAACACGCAAATGCAATAGAAAGCATGTGATTTGTGCTTTTAATGCTCTTAATGGGATGCATTTGTGGAAAGAACCTAACAAATCGACAAAGTCCAAAAACTCTTGTTTTTCTCCTCCCGTTTCTTCCCTCCCTCTCAACTTTCTCTTAGTCACTGTGCTTCCTCAGGATGTTTTTAGAAGTTCTTCTGTGGGTCTCTTTCTTCTCTGTTCTGTGAACGAGTCGGTCTTGTGACAGGGGGAGAGAACTTCCCCATTACAGCATTTCCTGAGGCGCACGCACACAGATACGTTGCTTTGATGTGTCAGATTTATGGATGTCAGGGTCTCGCTCTCATTTGCACGGACATGCTGTTTTGTCTTTGTGCTTGCATGTATTTTTGCATGCTCATGGCAAGCCTGAGGCTAGACTGAAGCAAACTGAGCATGCATGCATATATGCCCTAGGCTGTGATAATTAATTAACTGATAAGTCAGCACATGACGAGCATATGACAAGACAACTATTGTGCATATGAGGAGCAGACTATCAGACGGAAATATCATCTGTGCATCCAGAATCCAGTTGGCTTTTCTCTCAATGGCAGGCGCACGCGTGTGAATCGAGTTAAAGCAAACTGGGTCACGGCATCATGGCGGACTGCCACCGTCAGCACTGCATCTAAATCCTCTTCCACTGCGCTTACAAATCCCTTTCAAAGAGCAAATTAAAAGCCAACTTGGTGTTAATACTACACTGATACCAATTAACTTCATTCTCACCAGCAAGAATTTGCATTTAATGCACCAATGACATTTCCATAAAACTGAAATATAATATGCAAATATTACAATAGGAATTGCCTGATGCACTGTGCTGTGCTTAAGTGGCCAAAATCATAAAATAAAGACATGCAATCACGCTCCTTATTAAACTGCGCCAAGCTTTCATACTCTCTTCTCTTTGGATTTGCGATGTATTAAACATTCATGAATGTACAGTCGATACTGGATGCGTATTTTGTGTTAGAGTTATTGTCTCTAGAGAGCCGTGCGGTTTAATTATGAGCATATAACATCGCAAGGTAAAAATGCTGTTTATATTTGGAGGGAAAACTATTCAATAAATACAAAAGGAGATTAATGGATAGATAGATATATAGACAGACAGACAGACAGACAGAAACACAGACAGACAGACAGACAACTTAGTAGACACTTTATTCAAATCTGACTTACAAGACACAGATTTCCATCTTCTGCATCAGCCCATGTTTATTATGTAAGTCACAAATGTTCATAAAGATACAAAAGGCCAGCAATGCCTCTATTCATACTCTGTCAAAAATCTTTTTGTGGTGAATCTTGTTGCTTGGCAACTACAAACGTGACAGACTGTTAGCTGAAGTTGGTGTTTGGTTGCTACTGCTGTTGGTTATTGGTTTGAATCTCTCTGGTTGTTTGAGGTAAGGGTCATCCAAAGTACCATCCAAAGGACCTTAAGTAGTAGTTTAGGAACTGACCATCACAAGACCCGGTTGACCCCTATGCTTTCATAGAAAAGAGTAAGAAGCAAAACAATGAATCTCAAATCAATTCATGAAATGGCAAATTAATATATGTTATATTAAAAACAACATAAATAATTTTTTTTGGAGGGCAGAATGCTCAAAAATGATAAAAATGCAAGAGCTCTGAATGAGATAAACATACAAAACCAATGCTAGTCACTTTACACATTTTTTCACATTTCATCTGCCCTCACAAGCAGCCTTCTTTGGTCCTGGAGTCTCTGATGAGGCGCGCTTAAACTGTGGATCGGCTCCGGGCCTAATTGGGTGGGTAATTATGGTTTGACACGAGCAGAGAGCAGAGTTAATTAACCACAGTCTGGCAAATAACACTGATAAGCATACCGGGAATAACGCCACCTTCGAGTCATGTTGGAATGATCACAATTATAAAATGAAAGGCCTTGAACGTCAAGTCAGATGACATTGTTCACAAGTTTTTTTTTGTTTTGTTTTTTATGGTTGGCCAATTACCAGAGAAATGAGACATCAGTAAGCTGTACTAGAGACATGCAACATAGATTTTTCAGATTTAAATTTCATTCCTTTCATTTCATTCACACACACACACACACAATGTTGACATTGTACGCCAACAACTTTACTGCCAGATGCAGTACTGCAGGGCGCATGACATTCCTTTCTCCTCCCAAATGTAAACCACTGGAATTCTCTTTAAATTAGTTTACGAATACTTGTCATATTATAATGATTTGTCTTTTAAATGTAAGTATGGTGGCTCTACTTTGCGTCGGGTCAGCGGGAGAGTGATTTAACGCGGCGAGAGA